TGACTGGGACGCAGGAAAGTTCCACAAGCGAGAAGTGCGATAGAAGAAACTGTTAGCATAGAACTTACGGTTTACATCCAGTAGAGTCTACACTATTTACATTATTCGGACTATTGTCCTCATATTTGTCGCCATGTTTATCACAACGTTTCCACCGTTGTACGCTCCGGCCTTCTTCAGGTGGTTGGAATGTCAAGCTGAACCCTTTGTTTCGCTCACTGGGGTAGACTGTTCTAGTTACATGTCTAATGGATGTCACTTATCTCTTGTTAATTCCCCTCTCCAAGTTCTCCACTGCCTTAACCAGGTATTGAACTCACACTCTTTGGGTCCTGTCACTAGATCTAACGCCTTTATCCATTAGTCTAGTTACCATAGAGGAAAACAATATTTATTTTGTAAAGTTAAAAAAAATATGGCACAAGTCCAAAAGGGGGAATGAAGAAGACTGTTCTTCTTCTGTTTTATATTTAAACCTAGCTAGCCACAATTACTGACCCCAACTTAGAACGTCCTGGGTATGAAGATAAACTACATCCGCGTCCTGGGTATGAAGACGAACTACATCCGCGTCCTGGATAAGACGATAAACTACATCCGACAGCAAGACCTTTGATCAGGAGGTTTTGAGGAGTGTGGAACTACCTATTAATTGCTGGTGTTCCCATGTCCACCTTGATCTGAGGTAGTAGCACCTATCAAGGTTCCAGCTCTGGACAAATAATTAACTCCGCCACCACCAAAAGGGGTCAAAACACTATGAAAATATAAAAATAGTTTTTAATACCAGCAATACTTTTTTGGAAAAATTTTTACACATAATACATTTTTTTAAAAATATTACCAGTATTACATTATAAAAAATATATTACCAGTAATACATCTTTGAAAAAATATTACCATAATATTTTTTATGAAAAAAAATACCAGCAATACATTTTTGAAAAAAAATTACCAGCAATAAAAATCTTTTTGGTATTAAATAACTTATGAAGGTGTCGATATACCGTAAAACAAACCAAAACAGACCAAAGCAAAAATACAACAATATTCCTTACACCAAAACAGCACATTCTTACTTACCATTTTTACTACAGCCACCATAATACCTCAGTGTCTCTGTGTAGTCCAAACTAGATACTGTATGTACAATGTTTGCCTGTGCGGGGAGGGGGAAATAAAAACAACATTTTGCCATAGATGAAAGTATTTATAGAAATGTCAAGGGGAGCTACCTTATTGCTATGGGAAAGTGATTGAAGCCGGGCTGCCAGATCAGGACCAATGATATTGCTGATTCTTTGGATCTTATCAAGGAGCTTTAGGTGAATAACAGGAGCACCGGAATATATAAGCAGTATTCTAAGCATGGACGAATGGTAGACCTTATAAATATGTAAGATAGATTCGTGCTATCTGACCCCCTCCCCTCACATTCAATGCTCTATGTTTACAAGAGTCAGATTAGACCAGAAATTGGTGTCATATCTGACCTGGAACTGCCCAAGCCGCACTTTCCAGCCTTGATAGAGTCCAAGAGCGTTTACACGGCCTGGTAGGTAACGAATTATCTCCGCCCTCTAGAACCTCTTTCTCTCCTCGCTTATCTATCGCTATTTCAATGGGTAAGGGCCCAGACAAGCTACAGACGTTACGGCGGTTAGAAAGTGACTCAAGCCGAGATGCCAAGTCAAGACCAATAACATTGCCGATTCTTTTCATTTTTTCAAGGATCTCTAAATTTATAGCAGGAGAACTAGACCATAAGTGTCAGTATTCTCACTTTGAACGAATGGTAGACTTATAAATATGTAAAAATAGATTCTATCGCTAATTCAACTGAAAAAAGTCTTAGACAAGCTACAGTAATTAGTTCCATCAGTTCAGACCATTGCATACCACATACAATGAGACGAATCGTTCGGACAGCTTCTTCCCAAGAACCGATTATTTTGGGAGTAAACTCCCGAGTGGATGCTTTTCCGATCGCTACAATCTTAATCTCCTCATAACTTTTCTCGGCCGTTATCTTTCATAGCTGTCCTCATAATCTGCAGTTATTAATACACCTCCTTACGTTCATAATAACAACCTTATAGAGTAAGGCTCTATCTTGAGTGTCTCTCCTACCTTTTATTAGGAGAAAAATTAGTAAAAAAGAAATCTGATATCACAGGTTTACGCAAGATTTCCACTCACACAGACACAAACACAAACAAACACATGTATACGGACAGTCAACTTTATATATTTAGTTTCCAAGATTGCAGGCGGAAATATTTTAAAAAATGTGTT